AAAACAGGAGACACAAGGGACTCAAGGGGATACAAGGGTACACAAAAAGGAGTAAAAGGGGTAACAAGGGATAAAAAGGGGTAACAAAGGTAAAAAGGGATAACAGGGGTAACAAGGGGTAAAAGGGGTAACAAGGGGTACCAAAGGTAACAATGGGTAACAAAAGGTAACAAGAAGTAACAGGGGTAACAAGGGTAACAAGGGGAGACAAAGGGTAACCAGCGTTAACAAGGAGTAACAAGAGGTAAGAGGGGTAAAAAGGGTAACAAGGGGTAACAAGGGTAAAAAGGGGTAACAGGGGTAAAAGGGGTTACAAGGGTAACAAGGGCTAATGGAGTAACCGGGGTAACAAGGGGACACAGGGGTAAAAAGGAGTAACAGGGGTAACAAGGGGTAACAAGGGGTAAAAAGGGGTAACAGGGGTAGCAAGGGTAACAAGGGGTAACAAGGGTAACAAGGGGTAACAGAGTAACAGGGGTAAAAAGGGGCAACAAGGGTAAACACGAGTAACAGGAGTAACAAGGGTAACAAGGGGTAACAGGGGTAACAAGGGGTAACAAGGAGTAAAAGGGGTAAAAAGAAGTAACAAGGGGCAAAAAGAATAACAAGGGGTAACAAGGAGTAACAGGGGTAACAAGGGGTAACAGAGGTAACAAGAAGTAACAGGGGTAACAAGGGTAACAAGGGTAACAACGGTAACAAGGGGAACAAGGGTAAAAAGGGGTAACAAGGAGTAACAGGGCTAATAAAAGGTAACAAGGGGTAACAAAAGGAAACAGGGGTAAGAAGGGTAACAAGGGGTAAGAGGGGAAACAAGAGGTAAGAAGGGGTAACAAGGGGTAACAAGGGATAACAAGGGGTAACAGGAGTAACAAGGGTAACAAAGGGTAACAAGGGTAACAGGGGTAACAAGGGATAACAGGGGTAACAAGGGGTAATAAGGGGGAACAAAGGTAGCAATGGGTAACAAGGGCTAACAGGGGTAACAAAGGGTAACCAGGGGTAACAGGGGTAACAAAGGGTAACAAGGGGTAACAGGGGTAACAAGGGGTGACAGGGCTACAAGGGGTAACCAGGGGTAACAGGGGTAACAAGGGGTAACAAGGGGTACCAGGGGTAACAAAGGGTAACAACGGTAACAAGGCGTAACCGACAAAAAAGGGTTACAAGGGGTAACAGGGGTAACAAGGCTAACAAGGGGTAACAAAGGGTAAAAGGGCTAATAAGGGTAACAAGAGGTAACAGCAGTAACAAGGGGTAACAAGGGGTAAGAGGGGTAAGAAGGGATAACAGAGGTAACAAGGGGTAACAGAGGTAGCAAGGGGTAACAAGGGTAACAAAGGGTAACAAGAGCTAACAGGGGTAACAAAAGGTAACAAGGGGCAACAGAGGTAACAAGGGGTAGCAAAAGTAAGAAGGGGTAACAAAGAATAACTACGGGGAACAAGGGGTAAGAGGGGTAACAAGGGATAACAGGGGTAACAAGGAAAAACAGGGGTAACAAGGGTTAACAAGGGGTAACAGGGGTAACAACGGGTAACAAGAGGTAGCAAGGGTTAACAAAGGGTATTAATAGGTAACAAAGGGTAACAAGGGGTAAAAGGGGTAACAAGGGTAACAAGGGGTAAAAAAAAGTAACAAGGGCTAAGAGGGGTAACAAGGGGTAACAAGGGTAAAAAGGGATAAAAAAACTAACAAGGTAACAGGGGTAACAAGGGGTAACAGGGGTAACAGGGGTAGCAAGGGGTAACAAAGGATAACTGGGGTAACAGGCGTAACAAGGGGTAAGAGGGGTAAGAAGGGGTAACAGGGATAACAAGGGGTAACAAGGGGTAACAAGGCGTAACAAGGGGCAACAGGGGTAAGAAGGGTAACAAGGGGTAAGAGGGGTAACAAGAGGTAAGAAGGGGTAACAAGGGTAACAAGGGGTAACATGGGTAACAAGGGGTAAAAGGGGTAACAAAGGGGAACAAGGGGTAAGCAGGGTAACAAGGGGTAAGAGGGGTAACAAGGGGTAACAGGGGTAACAAGGGTTAACAAGGGGTAACAAGGGGTAAGAAGAGGTGACAAGGGGTAACAAAGTGTAACAAGAGGTAACAAAGAGTAACAAGGGGTAAAAGGGGCAACAAGGGTAACAAGGGGTAACAAAGGTAACAAGGGGTAATGGAGGAAAAGGGATAACAAGGGGTAACAGGGGTAAAAAGGGTAAAAGGGATAACAAGGGGTAAAAAGGGGTAAAAAGTGATAACAAGGGATAACAGGGGTAAAAAGGGTAACAAAGGGTAACAAGGGGTAACAGGGGTAACAAGGGGTAACAAAGGATAAAAGGGGTAACAAGGGGTAACAAGGAGTAACAGGGGTAACAAAGAGTAAGAAGGGGTAACAGGGGTAACAGGGGTAACAAGGGGTAACAGAGGTAAAAAAGGGTAACAAGGGTAACAAGGGTAACAAGGGGTAACAGGGGTAAGAAGGGTAACACGGGGTAACTGGGGTAAGAAGGGGCAACAAGGGTAACAAGGGGTAACAAGAGGTAACAAAGGGGACCAGGGACAACAATTGTAACAAAGGTAACAAGGGGTAAAAGGGGTAAAAAGGGTAACAGGAGTAAAAGGGGTAACAAGGGGTAAAAGGGGTAACAAGGCGTAACAAGGGGTAAAAAGTGATAACAAGGGATAACAAGGGTAATAAGGGTGACAAAGGTTAACAAGGGGTAACAGGGGTAACAAAGGGTAACAGGGGTAACAAGGATAACAAGGAGTAACAAGGGTAACAAAGGGTAACATGGGTAAAACGGGGTAACAGGGATAACATGGGGTAACAAAGAGAAACAAGGGTAACAAGGGATGACAGGGGTAACAAGGGGTAACAGGGGTAACAAGGGTAACAAGAAATAACATGGGGTAACAAGGGGTAACAAGGGGTAACAAAAGGGTAAGAAAGGGTAAAAGGGGTAACAAGGGTAACAAGGAGTAACAAGGGCTAACAGGGGTAAAAAGGAGTAACAGGGGTAACAAGGGGTAACAGGGGTAACAAGGGTAACAAGGGGCAACATGGGGTAACCAGGGGTAACAAGGGGTAACAAAGGGGTAACAAAGGCTAAAAGGGGTACCAGGGGTAAAAACAGGTAACAGGGGTAACAAGGGTAAAAAGGGGTAACAGGGATAACAAGGGTTAACAAGGGGAAACAAGGAGTAACAAGAGGTAACAATGGGTACCAAAGGGTAACAAGAGGTAACAAAGGGTAACAGGGGGTAAAAGGGGCAACAAGGGTAACAACGGGTAACAAGGGGTAACAGCGGTAACAAAGGGTAACAAGGGGTAACAGGGGTAACAGAGAGTAACAAGGGGTAACAGGGGTAACAGGGGTAACAAGGGGTAACAAGGGTTAACAAAGGGTAAGAAGAGGTAACAAGGGGTAACAAAGTGTAACAAGAGGTAACAAAGGGTAACAAGGGGTAAAAGGGGCAACAAGGGTAACAAGGGGTAACAAGGGTAAAAATGGTAACAAGGGTAACAAGGGGTAACAAGGGTAACAAGGGGTAATGGAGTAACAGGGGTAAAGGGTGGTAACAGAAGGGGTAACAAGGATAACAAGGGGTAACAGGGGTAACAAGGGGTAACAAAGGATAACAGGGGTAACAAGGGGTAACAGGGGTAACAAGGGTAACAAAGGGTAACAAGGGGTAACAGGGGTAACAAAGGGTAACAAGGGGTAAAAGGGGTAACAGAGAGTAACAAGGGGTAACAGGGGTAACAGGGGTAACAAGGGGTAACAAGGGTAACAAAGGGTAACAAGGGTAACAGGGGTAACAAAGGGTAACAAGGGGTAACAGGGGTAACAAAGGGTAACAAGGGGTAACAGGGGTAACAGGGGTAACAAGGGGTAACAAGGGTAACAAAGGGTAACAAAGGGTAACAGGGGTAACAAGGGGTAACAGGGGTAACAAGGGTAAAAAGGGGTAACAAGGGTAACAAGGAGTAACAAGGGGTAACAGGGGTAAAAGGGGTAACAAGGGGTAACAAGGGTAACAAAGGGTAACAAAGGGTAACCGGGGTAACAAGGGGTAACAGGGGTAACAAGGGTAACAAGGGGTTACAAGAGGTAACAACGAGTAACAGGGGTAACAAAGGGTAACAAGGGGTAACAGGGGTAACAAAGGGTAACAAGGGGTAACAGGGGTAACAGGGGTAACAAGGGGTAACAAGGGGTAACAGGGGTAACAAGGGGTAACAAGGGTAACAAAGGGTAACAGGGGTAACAAGGGGTAACAGGGGTAAGAAGGGTAAGAAGGGTAACAAGGGTAACAAGGGGTAACAAGGGGTAACAAGGGGTAACAAGGGGTAACAAGGGTAAGAAGGGGTAACAAAGGGTAGCAAGGGTAACAAGGGTAACAAAGGGTAACAAGGGGCAACAAGGGTAAAAAGGGGTAACAAGGGGTAAAAAAGGGTAACAAGGGGTAACAAGGGTAACAAAGGGTAACAAGGGTAACAAGGGTAACAAGGGTAACAAGGGGTAACAAGGGGTAACAAAGGGTAACAAGGGTAACAAGGGGTAACAAGGGGTAACAAGGGTAACAAAGGGTAACAAGGGGTAACAAGGGGTAACAAGGGTAACAAGGGGTAACAAGGGGTAACAAAGGGTAACAGGGGTAACAAGGGGGGTAACAGGGTAGGGGTAACAGGGGTAACAAGGGGTAACAAGGGGTAACGGGGGTAACAAGGGGTAACGGGTAAAAGCGGTAACAACGGGTAACAGGGGTAACAAGGGGTAACAAGGGGTAACAAGGGTAACAAGGGGTAACAGGGGTAACAAGGGGTAACAGGGGTAACAAGGGGTAACAGGGGTAACAGGGGTAACAAAGGGTAACAAGGGGTAACAAGGGGTAACAAGGGGTAACAAGGGGTAACAAGGGGTAACAGGGGTAACAAGGGGTAAAAAGGGGTAACAGGGGTAACAAGGGGTAACAAGGGTAACAAGGGTAACAAAGGGTAACAGGGGTAACAAGGGGTAACAGGGGTAAGAAGGGTAAGAAGGGGTTACAAGGGGTAACAAGGGGTAACAGGGGTAACAAGGGGTAACAAGGGGTAACAGGGGTAAGAAGGGTTAACAGGGGTAACAAGGGGTAACAAAGGGTAACAAGGGGTAACAGGGGTAACAAGGGGAAACAAGGGGTAACAGGGGTAAGAAGGGGTAACAGGGGTAACAAGGGGTAACAAAGGATAACAGGGGTAACAAGGGTAACAAAGGGTAAAAAGAGGTAACAGGGGTAACAGGGGTAACAAGGGGTAACAAGGGTAACAAAGGGTGACAGGGGTAACAAGGGGTAACAGGGGTAACAAGAGTAACAAGAGTAATAGGGGTAGCAAGGGTAAACCGGGGTAAAAAGGGGTAAAAAGGAGTAACAGGGGTAACAAGAGTACTAGGGGTAAATAGGGGTAACAACAAGTAACAGGCCTAACAAGGGATAACAGGGGTAACAAGGGGTAACAGAGGTAACAAAGGGTAAGAAGGGTAACAAGGGTAACAAGGGGTAACAGGGGTAAGAAGGGTAACACGGGGTAACAGGGGTAAGAAGGGGCAACAAGGGTAACAAAGGGTAACAAGGGGTAACAAGAGGTAATAAAGGGGACCAGGGACAACAATTGTAACAAAGGTAACAAGGGGTAACAGGGGTAAAAAGGGTAACAAGGGTAACAGGGGTAACAAGGGGTAACAAAGGGTAAGAAGGGGTAACATGGGTAACAAGGGGTAACAGAGGACAACAGGGGTAACAAGGCGTAACAGGGGTAACAAGGGTAACAAAGGGTAACAAGGGGTAACAGTGGTAACAAAGGGTAACAAGGGTAACAGGGGTAACAAGGGGTAACAAAGGGTAACAAGGGGTAACAAAGGGTAACAAGGGGTAACAAAGGGTAACAAGGGGTAAAAGGGGTAACAAGGGGTAACAAGGGGTAACATGGGTAACAAGGGGTAACAGAGGACAACAGGGGTAACAAGGCGTAACAGGGGTAACAAGGGTAACAAAGAGTAACAAGGGGTAACAGGGGTAACAAAGGGTAACAAGGGTAACAGGGGTAACAAGGGGTAACAAAGGGTAACAAGGGGTAACAAAGGGTAACAAGGGGTAACAAAGGGTAACAAGGGGTAACAGGGGTAAGAAGGGGTAACAAGGGTAACAAAGGGTAACAAAGGGTAACAGGGGTAACAAGGGTAACAAGGGTAACAAGGGGTAACAAGGAGTAACAGGGGTAACAAGGGGTAACAAGGGGTAACAGGGGTAAAAAGGGGTAACAGGGGTAACAAGGGGTAACAAGGGGTAACAAGGGGTAACAAAGGGGTAAGAAGGGTAACAAGGGGTAAGAGGGGTAAAAGAAGGTAAGAAGGGGTAACAAGGGTAACAAGGGGTAACATGGGTAACAAGGGGTAACAAAGGGGTAAGCAGGGTAACAAGGGGTAAGAGGGGTAACAAGGGGTAACAGAGGGTAACAAGGGTTAACAAGGCGTAAGAAGAGGTAACAAGGGGTAACAAAGTGTAACAAAAGGTAACAAAGGGTAACAAGGGGTAAAAGGGGCAACAAGGGGAACAAGGGTAACAAGGGGTAACAAGGGTAACAAGGGTAACAAGGGGTAACAAGGGTAACAAGGGGTAATGGAGTAACAGGGGTAAAGGGTGGTAACAGGGGTAACAGGGGTAAAAAGGGGTAACAGGGGTAACAAAGGATAACAGGGGTAACAAGGGGTAACAAGGGGCAACAGGGGTAAGAAGGGTAACAAGGGGTAAGAGGGGTAAAAGAAGGTAAGAAGGGGTAACAAGGGTAACAAGGGGTAACATGGGTAACAAGGGGTAACAAAGGGGTAAGCAGGGTAACCAGGGGTAAGAGGGGTAACAAGAGGTAATAAAGGGGACCAGGGACAACAATTGTAACAAAGGTAACAAGGGGTAACAGGGGTAAAAAGGGTAACAGGAGTAACAAGGGTAACAAGGGGTAACAGGGGTAACAAGGCGTAACAAGGGGTAAAAAGTGGTAACAAGGGATAACAAGGGTAATAAGGGTGACAAAGGTTAACAAGGGGTAACAGGGGTAACAAAGGGTAAAAGGGGTAACAAGAATAACAAGGGGTAACAAGGGTAACAAGGGGTAAAAGGGGCAACAAGGGGAACAAGGGTAACAAGGGGTAACAAGGGTAACAAGGGTAACAAGGGGTAACAAGGGTAACAAGGGGTAACAAGGGGTAACAAAGGGTAACAGGGGGTAACAGGGTAACAAGGGTGGTAACAAGGGCAACAACAGGGGTAACAGGGGGGTAAGGGTAAAGGGTAACAAAGGGTAACAAGGGGGTAACAAAGGGGTAACAAAGGGTAACAAGGGTAACAAAGGGTAACAAAAGGGGGCAACAAGGGGTAACAAGGGTAACAAGGGGTAACAAAGGGTAACAAGGGCAACAAAGGGTAACAAAGGGTAAAAAGGGGTAACAAAGGGGTAACAGGGTAACAAAGGGTAACAAGGGGTAACAAGGGTAACAAGGGGTAACAAGGGTAACAAGGGGTAACAGGGGTAACAAGGGTAACAAGGGTAACAAGGGTAACAAAAGGGTAACAAAGGGGGGGTAACAAAGGGTAACAAGGGGTAAGGGGTAACAAGGGTAACAAGGGTAACAAAGGGTAAAGGGTAACAAGGGTAACAGGGGTAACAAGGGTAACAAGGGGTAACAAAAGAAGGGTAACAAAGGGGTAACAAGGGGTAACAAGGGGGTAACAAGGGGTAACAAACAACAAGGGTAACAAGGGGTAACAAGGGTAACAAGGGTAACAAAGGGGGTAACAAGGGGTAACAGGGGTAACAAGGGTAACAGGGGCAACAGGGTAACAACAAAGGGTAACAAAGGGTAACAAGGGGTAAACAAGGGTAACAAGGGTAACAAAGGGTAACAAAGGGGTAACAAGGGGTAACAGGGGTAACAAAGGGTAACAAGGGGTAACAGGGGTAACAAGGGTAACAAAGGGGTAACAGGGGTAACAAGGGTAACAAAGGGTAACAAGGGTAACAGGGCAAAAAGGGTAAAGGGGTAACAAGGGGTAACAAGGGGTAACAGGGGTAACAAGGGTAACAAAGGGTAACAAGGGGTAACAAGGGGTAACAAGGGTAACAAGGGGTTACAAGGGGTAACAAGGAGTAACAGGGGTAACAAGGGGTAACAAGGGGTAACAGGGGTAAGAAGAGGTAACAGGGGTAACAAGGGGTAACAAGGGGTAACAAAGGGTAACAAGGGGCAACAGGGGTAAGAAGGGTAACAAGGGGTAAGAGGGGTAACAAGAGGTAAGAAGGGGTAACAAGGGTAACAAGGGGTAATATGGGTAACAAGGGGTAACAAGGGGTAACAAAGGGGAACAAGGGGTAAGCAGGGTAACAAGGGGTAAGAGGGGTAACAAGGGGTAACAGGGGTAACAAGGGTTAACAAGGGGTAACAAGAGGTAACAAGGGGTAACAAAGTGTAACAAGAGGTAACAAAGGGTAACAAGGGGTAAAAGGGGCAACATGGGTAACAAGGGGTAAGAAGGGTAACAAGGGGTACCAGGGGTAACAAGGGGTAACAAGGGTAACAAGGGGTAATGGAGTAACAGGGGTAAAGGGCGGTAACAGGGGTAACAAGGGGTAGCAGGGGTAACAAGGGTAACAAGGGGTAACAGGGGTAACAAGGGGTAACAAAGGATAACAGGGGTAACAAGGGGTAACAGGGGTAACAAGGGTAACAAGGGGTAACAGGGGTAACAAAGGGTAACAGGGGTAATAAAGAGTAAGAAGGGGTAACAGGGGTAACAAGGGGTAACAAAGGTAACAAAGGGTGACAGGGGTAACAAGGGGTAACAGGGGTAACAAGGGTAACAAGGGGTAAAAAGGAGTATCAGCGGTAACAAGAGTAATAGGGGTAACAAGGGGTAACAACAAGTAACAGGGCTAACAAGGGATAACAGGGGTAACAAGGGGTAACAGAGGTAACAAAGGGTAACAAGGGTAACAAGGGGTAACAGGGGTAAGAAGGGTAACAAGGGGTAACAGGGGTAACAAAGGTAACAAGGGATAACAGGGGTAAGAAGGGGCAAGAAGGGTAACAAAGGGTAACAAGGGGTAACAAGAGGAAATAAAGGGGAACAGGGATAACAAGGGTAACAAAGGTAACAAGGGGTAATGGAGGAACAGGGATAACAAGGGGTAACAGGGGTAAAAAGGGTAACAGGAGTAACAAGGGTAACAAGGCGTAAGAGGGGTAACAAGGGGTAACAAGGGGTAACAAGAGGTAACAAAGGGTAACAAGGGGTAAAAGGGGCAACAAGGGTAACAAAGGGCAACAACGGGTAAGAGGGGTAACAAGGGGTAAGAAAGGGTAACAAGGGGTAACAAGAGGTAACAACAGTAACAAGGGGCACGAGGGGTAACAAGGGGTAAAAGAAGGAACAAGGGTAACAAGGGGTAACAAGGGGTAACAGGGGTAACAGGGTAACAAGAGTAACAAGGGGTAATGGGGGTAAGAAGAGGTAATAACGGGTAACAAAGGGAACAAAGGGTAACATGGGTAACAAGAGGTAACATGGGGTAACAAAGAGGAACAAGGGGTAACAAGGGGTAACAAGGGTAACAAGGATAACAAGGGGTAATAGGGGTAACAAGGGGTAACAGGGGTAACAAGAGGCAACAACGGGTAACAAGGGTAACAAAGGGTAACAAGTTAAGGGGTAACAGGGGTAACAAAGAGGAACAAGGGGAAACAAGGGGTAAAAGGGGTAACAAGGGGTAACAAGTGGTAAATGGGTAAAATGGGTAATGAGGGGTAACAAGGGGTAACAAGGGGTAACAGAGGTAACAAAGGGTAAGAATGGGTAGCAGGGGTAACCAGGTGTAATAATTGGTAACAAGGAGTAACAAGGGGTAACAGGGTCAATATGGGTGAAGAAGGTGTAGCAGAGGTAACAAGGGGTAACATAGGTTACAACGGAAAGTAAGGGTTAAAAAGGCTAACAACGGGAAGTGGGGTACTAAGGGGTAAGAGGGTTAACAAAAGGTAACAAGGGGTAACAACGCGTAAGAAGGGGTAACAGGTGTAACATGAGGGAACAAAGGGGAACAAGGGGGAACAAGGGGTAACACTGGTATCAAGGGGGAACAGGTATAACAAGTGGTAACAAGGAGGAACAAGGGGTAACAGGGGTAAGAGGGAGTAAGAAGGGGTAACATGGGTAACAAGGGGAACAGGGGTAACAAGGGGTAAAAGGGGTAACAAAGGTGTAAAAAGGGGTGACAGGGGTAACAAGACATGGTGGTCACAAGGGGTAACAATGGGTAACAAGGGGTAAGAGAGGTAACAAGGGGAACTAGGGGTAACAGGGGTAACAAGGGGGACCAAGGGGTAAAAAGGGGTAACAGGGGTAACAAGTGGTAACAAGGGGGAACAGGGGAAACACAAGGTAAGACAGGCGAACACATGCGAACACAGTGTAACACAAGGTAACACAGGGAAAGACGAGGTAGGACATGTAACATGAGGGAACAAAGGGCAACAAGGGGGAACAAGGGGTAACACGGGTATCAAGGGGGAACAGGGATAACAAGTGGTAACAAGGAGGAACAAGGGGTAACAGGGGTAACAGGGAGTAACAAGGGGTAACATGGGTAACAAGGGGAACAGGGGTAACAAGGGGTAAAAGGGGTAACAAAGGGGTAAAAAGGTGTGACAGGGGTAACAAGACATGGTGGTCACAAGGGGTAACAATGGGTAACAGGGGTAACAAGGGGTAAGAGAGGTAACAAGGGGAACAAGGGGTAACAGGGGTAACAAGGGGGACCAAGGGGTAAAAATTGGTGACAGGGGTAACAAGTGGTAACAAGGGGTAACAAGGGGGAACAGGGGAAACACAAGGTAAGACAGGGGAACACATGCGAACGCAGTGTAACACAAGGTAACAGGGAAAGACGAGGTAACACAAGGTAAGACAGGTTAACATGAGGTAGCACAGGGTAACACAAGGTTACGCAGGGTAACGACGAATAACACAGGCTAACACTAGGTAACATAGGGTAATACAGGGTTACATGGGGTAACATGGGGTAACACGTGGTAACATGAGGTAACACACGGTAACATAGGGTAACACAGGGTAACACAGGGGACATGGGGTAACACAGCGTGACACAGGGTAACACAGGGTAACACAAGGTAACACAGGGTAGCACAGGGTAGCACAGGGCAAGACAAGTTAACACAGGGTTACACAGGGTAACACAAAGTAAGACAAGGTAACACGGGGTAACACAGGGTAACATGGAGAAACAAAAAGTAATAAAGGGTAAGACAAGGTAAGACAGGGTAACACAGGGTAACACAAGTTAACACAGGGTGACACAGGGTAACAAAGGGTAACACAAGGTGACACAGGGTAACACCCGGTAACACGGGGTAACAGAAAGTAATAAAGGGTAAGACAAGGTAACACAGGGTAACATGAGGTAACACAGGGTAACAGGTGGTAACACGAGGTAACACAGGGTAACAGAAGGTGATAAAGGGTAAGACAAGGTAACACAGGGTAACATGAGGTAAGACAGGGTAACATAGGGTAAGACAGGGTAACACGAGGTAACACAGGGTAACACGAAGTAACACAGGGTAACAGAGGGTAACAGAAGGAAAAAAGGGTAACACAGGGTAACATAGGGTAACATGAGATAACACAGGGTAACACAGGGTAACACAAGGTAAAACAGGGTGACACAGGGTAACACGAGGTAACACAGGGTGACACGGGGTAACAGAAGGTAATGAAGGGCAACACAGGGTAACCCGAGGTAATGCAGGGTAACACAGGGTAACATGGGGTAACACAGGGTAACAGAAGGTAACAAAGGGTAACATAAGGGAACATGGGTGACACAGGGTGATGCAGGGTAACATGGTAACACGGGGTGACACAAGGTAACACAGGGTAACACAGAGGAAGACGAGGTAACACAAGGTAACATAAGGTAACACAGGGTAACATAGGGTAACAGGAGGTAATAAAGGGTAACACAGGGTAACACAAGGTAACACAGGGTAATGCGAGGTAACACAGGGTAACAGGTTAACATGGGCTAACACGGGTAGAAGGTAACAAAGGGTAACACAGGGGAACATGGGTGAGACAGGGTAACATAGGGTAACATAATTATGGTAACATGGGGTAACACAAGGTAACACATGGGAACACAGTGTAATACAAGGTAACATTATGGTAACATGGTAATTATGGTAACATGGGGTAAAACAAGGTAACACATGGGAACACAGTGTAATACAAGGTAACACATAGTAACACCGGGTTACACAGGGTAAGACGAGGTGACACAAGGTAACACAGAGGGACACAGAGTAACACAAGGTAACACAGGGTAACACAGGGTGACACAGAGCAACACAGGGTAACACAGGGTAAAACAGATTAACATAGGGTAACACTACGTAACACAGGGTAACACAGGGGAACATGGGGGAACACAGGGAAACACAGGGGAAGACAATGTAACACAAGGCAACACAGTGGAACACAAGGCAACACATGGTAACACAGGGTAACAGGGGGTAATATGGGCTAACAGAAGGTAACAAAGGGTAACAGGGGAAAAAAAAGGTAACACAAGGTAACACATGGGAACACAAGGTAATACAGGGTAACAGAGGGTAAATCAGGGTAACATGGGGTAACACAAGGTAACACAGGGTAAGACAGGGTAACTCAGGGTAACATGGGGTAACATAAGGTAACAGAGGGGAACACAGGGTAACACAAGGTAACACAGGGAAAACACAGGGTAACACAGAGTAACACAGGGTAACACAAGGTAACACAGGGAAAACACAGGGTAACATAGAGTAACACAGGGTAACACAAGGTTACACAGGGTAATGGAGGGTAACAGAGGGTATCATGGGTAACACGGGGTAATACAAGGCAACAAAGGGTAACACAGGGGAACACATGGTAACAATATGTATGATACAACACAAGTGAGTGTTGTTACTGCAACATTTTGATGCCATCTCTATGGTGGATAAGATTAAAGACCATGAAGAATAGTTGTTGATTTGACATTGAGAGTCTTTTTTTCGGAAAATAGCAACTGTAAGAAAGAGTCGAAAAGAGAAAAAACATTGACAACCAACAGGAAACATCGGTTGAAGTATTAACTAACCTAGGTACCCCAAATGATCCCCTGTTTAAGGCTTCTTCTGTATTCTGCAGCAGCTTCTCTCTTCCTACTCCACTGATCATGTCATCAATGTTAACATGCCACCCAACAGTTGAAGCACTCTCTTGTAAAACACTGTTTTCTCTTACATCTGCAGAAAGATAATTACAATCATCTCTGACTTGAAGATGTAAAAGTAATAATAGGACCTTCAAAACTGAAAATGGCAACGGTGGTGAAAAGAACATTTCTTGAAAAGTGACTTCTTGTTCTTCCAATCCTAATCATGATTGTTCCAACTCACTTACTTTCACAAAAAAACGAACTCTCCTGGAGCTGAACTCCTAAGAACCACATGCAAATGAAGGAAGAACATTTTGTTGTCACTTGTTTATGTTCTCCATAAGATGTGAAATAAGACATTTTCACATTGCAGTCACACAATGATAAGAATAAAAATATGCAAAGTTGCTGATTTGCTGGTTACACCTACTGTTTTTTTGACGTTCCTGTTGATGTTGCCATTGTCTGATTTTAAGGGCCCTGTTATGCGGTTTTACTCTACAAACCAATCATGACATATTACATCACTGTAGGCCTGATGTACAGTGTTGAACTGTCAATGATTAGAACAAGAACAGAGGCCTCATCAAAGACATTGCATTACCTTGTGATACGAATGTTGAAAGCAAAAAGAGAGAGAAACAAACAACAACAAAAAAACGTTGCCAGGGAAATATCTAGCGTGCTTACCATACCACCTGGGTGGAAATCTTTTGCATAAAAATACAAATCACAGCCCATAATTTCCGAAGCTTTCCATACAGAAAGGTGCAAACCATTTGATTTTCCAATCAGAATTTCCGGTTTTCCCATGAATTAGAAAAGAGTACATGTAAGCAGTGTTCTCCCTAAAGTTTAGCTCAGCAGAAAAGTCACCATTCCTGACTGGTAGAGAAAAAAAATAATGCTCCAGTGGGGCACTCTCCTGGGGGTAGGGGGGAGGTTATGACCCCACCCTCCCTGGAAAAGTTTCAGGAGCTAAGTTCCCTGAAGCGTCATTCCCTATTTTTTTTAAAAAACCTATTTTAGGCAAATCAGCATGTATATGGTAAGTATATAATTTATGGTAAGTTTTCAGCTTTCAGATCAGACGTTAAAAACTCACCACAAGTTATGTAAAGAAAAGAAAAAAAAAGAAAAGAAAAGAGGCAATTTTCAGAGATACCCTTGGGGTGGCCTACATGAAGAATCATTTTAAATTAAGTCAGCGGTCTCTCCACTTTGGATTGCTACAAAATTCTGTAATTTACGTTATTTTTAGAATTTACGGTAACTATCATTTTATGTGATATTTTAAATAACTGTATTTTTTTTTCTGGCAAACAAATACATTGTAAACTTAAACTGACACAGACAAAAGTGACACCATGGACTGCTGTCGCTTTATTGTACCATGAGCAGGGTGTGAACCACAGCTGATAAAGGCAGGCGTCAATGCAGCTGCATGCCACAAGTCAACTGCGAGAGCGCCCAAGGCAAGAGGGACGCTTGCGAAGTGAGTGAAAGCGAGTGATGAAGTCCAGCAAGACTAGATAACAGAAGAGCAAGAAAAAAAATTTAATTGCTAGGCTGCAGTGCTTCAGAAGTTCCCTGCTAGCAGAGGTCTCTCACGACGAGGCAAAAATGAGAGAAAGGAGAGAGACTCCTTTCTCTCATTAATTTTTGCCTCGTCGTGAGAGACCTCTGCTAGCAGGGAACTTCAGAAGTTACCAGTCAGCAATTACATAACGTACTCAGAGACAATAGCTGTGACAGTATACTTTTATGTTTTTCCGTATTTTACTTAATTTTCTTGTGAGAATCAGCTCGGATCAAAACTTGCGTTTTTTTAAACAACTTATTAAATTTAGTGAAACTTCAAGCCATTGCAGGTGGTAAGAAGTGTTGCTTCAAAACCTCATCAATAGTTATTCATCAAGAAAAAACAAAAGAAATTAATGCTTAATGAGTGTCTTTACATGTATATCTGATAAAGAAATGGCTAAACTGACCAAAATAAACCCAAATCTAAATATAAGTGCAAGAATGAGTTGATCAGAGTTTATCAGAGATTTTGAAGCTGTTCAAAAAACTCGCAGTCATGTATTATCAGGTTTAAAACCTCGAGGCAAAGCTAAGAGTTTTTTAACCTGATAATACACTCCTGATCATTTTTTAAACAGTACTTCAAGCAGTAAGCAGTTACAGCCTGACAAGGAGAACATTGTGTAATTACCCCTAGACTTTGGATAGCATGGACAAAAAAATTCCAGGCATTGTGGAGGCTCAGTCTAGTATTACTTAAAAGATCACTTGAGCGAAATGGCCGCATTTGAAAGTCAGACTAGGGACCATACACATTGTACACTGTAAGTAAACACAAAAGCTCATGGGCAAAATTAAAATCACAACACGGAGGAAGCTTTTTAAGTGTTTTGCTTTGCTGCTTCTTTGAAAGGATGGTGCGGTGGTGAGAGCGCTCAACAATGTGGCCCAGATTCAAATCCCGGTGTCGATGCCATATGTGGGTTTTGTTTTTTTTTTAATTATATGGGGGTTGAGTTTGTTTTATATGTGGGTTGAGTTTGTTTTAATTTGGTTAATTTTAATTTGTGGGTTGAGTTTGTTTTAATTTGGTTTTTCTCCGGGTACTCCGGTCTTCCCCTCTCCTCAAAAACCAACATTTCCAAATTCTGATTCGACCAGGAATCATGGAGACAAAGAACCACTTTGTGAATGTGCTACCTACAGTGTACATGTACCATTATTATTTAACAGTAACAGTAATTCACGTCATTGATACCCAAACTAAGTACATACATGTCAGGGCTCGAAGTTATCTTTTTAGTGCACTTGCAAAGTTTTGCTAGTAAGATTTTTTTCGACTAGCAAACTGGTGAGACCACAAGCAATTTATTTCCCTTTGTTTGGGAGACATGGATAATTCTAACTCGCAATCGTTTGCTAGTGGACATTTTTCTTACTCGCAGATTATCAAAATCACTCGCATTTTGCGAGTTTGCGAGCGTTAATTTCGAGCCCTGCATGTACATGTAACTTATTCAAACACACCTTTATTGTGAACCCAGTAATCAGCAAACAGCTTGTGTGATAGTGGAACACAGACTTCTTCATTCAATTCAGCAGCAGCAGCTAAGAGACGCATTGGCCTAAGAGTTTTAATTGGATGTTCAAATGGAGCAGTTCCTTCAGTTATTCCCAAATGAAGCTTTGTCCTTTTTAAATCTGAAAAAATAATACGAGCAATTATTGTAGTAGACTTTTTTTATTCTCTCGACATGAGGCAACGATGTTAGTCATACAAAAATGTAGAGTTTCAGCAAGTTTTTTTACAGCATTATTAGCAGCCAAATACAGCCCTTTCTCCTTGCACCTCCCAGCTAGGGATGTTTCACCAGGAGAAACATCTGCGCCTCAGTGACAGAAATTCCATACTGATGATGTAAATCAATGTTTACATAATAAAATCCGGTAGTCAGGGGGTTCCAAATGTACATTTGTTTGATTTTATGTTTGTCCTGGTCCATTATGGTAAAGTGTTGTGTTCTACTGCAAACAAAAATCAAGCTCCAGCAAAACGCTTTTTCTAAAGAAGAATACATAATTTTGTATTCCACGAATACTGACTGTTTTACAGTAAATTCATTATGTTTACGACCCCATTTACTAGTACATTTGAAATTTGTGGCCTTTTGTCTTTTGTTTGGCATTTGTAAACAACAGGTATAACTACTGCATGTATGTCGACCAATCAGAGCTCCTGACCAGTTCCTGGACAGAATTTTACATCATCAGCATGGAATTTTCTGTCTCTGAGGCACAAATGTTCCTCCTGGTGAAACGTCCTTAGCGGCATAAACGCCATTATTTTTATACCCTATGCTATAGATATATAATTATGTACATGATCTGCTCGAAAAAACAGACAGGTCAATCTCGAAGAGGGGGCAATTAATACTTTTTTTAGTGGGATAGGGCTGTGTATCAACCATTGACTGGGGGATGAAGAAGTGACCCTGATTGCAGAAAAATGTGTTGATCTAGCTGTCTCCCCCAGACCTGGCTACCTAAAGGTCAATGAACAGCAATAATGTTGCAAGTGGTTGGTTCAGTGGTTGAGTGGTCTCACCAGCATCAAAACTACAATCAATTGGACAGAACCACAAAGCCCCACTTCCCTGAAATCACATATGCCCAACCCCTCCTCCCATCCCACAAACAAGGTTGGATTTAAGGCAGGGAGGAGGGAGACCTGACAGAATTTTTTTAAAACGTTGCACTGTCTTTTGAGGGCACCGAGAAATTACAGAAAATACTGCAACACTGTCCCAAGCACTTTTGTCCAAGATAGTTGGACCTATTTGGAGACCCTGGTTTATTCCCTGGCTCAACCACATACAGTCAAACCTCTATTAAACCCCCCTCGGTTAAGTGATCACCCTCTATTAAGCGTTTGCCCATCAATTTCCCAAAATCTGCTTCCCATAATGTAAATTTGGCCTCTATTGAACAGTCACCTTTGTTAAGTGGACGTGGTAACTGTTCGGATTTCCCAAATGGCTAATTCTCTGAAATAACTTAACTCTGTTAAACTGTCACCTTGTACATAACAATAAATAATTGGCATATTCAGGGCTTCTGGTATTTCGCGCGGTCGCGGATCCGCAAAATTCAGGTATTTCCGTGAAATCCCACGAAATTCCCCAAAAAACGCGAAATATCGCGAAATCCACCAGAAATATTTCCAAGTACATGTCGGCAAAACATATTTAATGGTTATCTTGGCTATTAGACCGGTTTTGTTCACACCAAACGTCCAAATTTAGCTTGAAACTTCATCACTGCAACGAGTAAACAACCTCCCAAAACTACCAGGCGTTTTTATATGAACGTTGCGAAAAACTGGGCTCTAACCATTATGTTAATATAGCTTTAGCATTCTCTCATTTCTCGAGTGAATTGTTGTTGAAAGAGCAAATGATTATCCCTGTTAAAAGAAACGTTTACCAACGCTGGTCATATCAACGCAAAATTGATCAATTTTAGCGAAATTTGCCAAAAAAAAATCCAGCGAAATCGGCTGTTTTTTACTGATTGTTTCTCAGCGAAGTTTCCTCCCGAAATTTCCTGTGAAATTGGCCTATTTTCCTAAGAATTTGCCCCTGAAAATCCCACGAAATTTTGCTTTTTTTTCTGCTAAATATCAGAAGCCCTGCATATTTTTTAAGTTTAACAGGAAGATAACAGAAGTATTTCCAGTTTCTTCCAATATTCATCAAACGCAGAATAACATTGTAACATAGGTATTAAATACACATCTCTCTCTATGTTGAATAAGGTTTTAAAATTGTTGATGTGCTTGATTGAAAAGATGCTTGCCCTACGAACGACACTAATGTAAAAATAAATTTGTTGTTTAAGCATGAACTCCCCAGAACATCCAAATACTTTTATGATATTTCCTGTTACTGCTATTGTGAACAGTAAATTGTAAACCGTGATGAATTTTGCCCTCTATGTCAATTTCTGCCACATTATGGGCTATATTTAATAGTTACTAATTTTAGAAAACCTCTAGATTGAGTGGTCAGCTGGCTAATTCTCGAGGGTGACCGCTTAATAGAGGTTTGACTGTATCTGCTTCTTTCCTTACATGTTGTTGTGTTAAATCAAATTCTGTTTCCAATTAACTGTAACTGTATACACAGTAAATATTACAAAAAATGGTAACAAGAATGCTCCCAAATATTTTGAGGCCTGTAAATCCTTACCATCAGCTAATATCTTTATTTTAGAGGCACACATAGCATCATATGCAGATCCTGCAGCACCCTGGGGTGCCTGTGTCCCTTTGTACAGGCCACCTTTAAATATCAGAAAATAAGAAAAAGAAATGTATATCACACCAAAAACCACAGTCAACAGCTAGGTAAAGTATTGTTGCTCTGCACAAGGAAATTAAACTGACAATAGAACTATTATTCATCCACCTGGTCAGAACACTCGTTGTGCAACAAACTGTACAGGCTCTTTTTTGCTTAGAATACTTACTGTTATCAGATTTACAAATCAATAACATTAGAAATTTCAGGGGCTGTGAATGATTTTTCCAAAGCATAATACATGGTTAAATTTTACTGGCTACCATCCCCTTTGCCCTCCCAAGGCAACCCCCAGGAAAATTCAGGCCCTTAGGGCCAGGGGTGTGGAGTTGTTTGAAGTGGTCTTGTTCTGAAAAAGGAGGCAGGGAAACTGTCAAAATTAATTTCTTGTTCTTGTAAAGTACGTCATTGTTTGGTGAGATTATCACAGAGGAACATGAGGAGAAGACTCCCAAGAAGCCCTGCTTCAATAAGAGTAAAAGTGAAACCAATAAAAAAAATTAACTGATCGACTCGTGTACCCTGCGAGCAGAGGCTACATTTTCGCCGTAGAAGCTGGCATGCAAAAAGCAGCCTCTGCTGACAACCGTTCAATTTTCTATCGTGCATGCACGAAATTCGTCACGCAATTCGCTAGCAAAATTAATTGTCAAGTTTGGGGATAACATGCACGTTTTTTAATAAATTACTTGTATCGGCTATTACGCCAATCACATAAACAAATCAAATTCCCCTTGTCAACATTCACGCGATCAGTGTTACATACTTTACCTAGAAGAACAGGTTTCCACCGAATTTTTGCTCCAGTTCGACGGGCAACACCCTCTATCAGCTTACTTGCCATAAAGGCGAATGGACAAACAACATCGTAGTAGAATACAACTTCTTTCATTCTAACAACCGCTGGAGAACTGTTCTATTCCGTTATGTGTTCTGTGACTGTCTTCTGGTGGTCCTTTACTCTCCGTCTGTTACCGCATTGCATTTGACTGCGGTCTGCTACCAAAACAGTTTATGCGTCATATATTTGAACATGAACCTTGACGCACACGAGATGAGGGAAATGTTTTATCAGTACAGCTCTCTTTGTTGTGGAATATTGATGCCAGGGGGATAAGTATCTTGTTACGTGTGCTTTCGGCAACTTTATGGAAGGATAAGGTAACATCAGTGTGTCATGACCTCCAGTATCGATGCCAATAATCTCCCGAAAGGAACGAAATCACAAACTTGCCGGTAAGACATTAGAACGCGGTACGCCCGCTGGCCCGATCTACATAAACATTTCCGCGGATTTAGCCTCAAATCAAACCACAGCAGATGTTAAAGAGCGCAACAACCCGATTACAAACAACACCACAGTGGCTACATGGGATTATCAGTACTTCGCCTGCGAGTAGGTCGGTGTTTAACTTGAGCACGCCGGCATCTTGCGCGTTTCCTGCGTGGGCGGAACAAGGAATGGGATGCTTAAAAATTAACGATAAGCTATTGGTCCGTTTTCGCAGATCCCCAATTTAAGGAGGATATAAGCGGCAGATCATGTCACCTTTGCATAACTACATGTAAGTTTTGTAGACCGCAAAACTCAAAACTGAAGATGGGCGATCAAGATCCATTACAGATTGCCGGAGACGGCCAAGAAGATTCTCAGACAGAGTTTGACATTCCCAATTGGTTGAGCTGCGTAGTTCTGTTTTCCACGAGTTCATCATTTTTCTTCTCACTGGTCTCCAACTCTAACTCCTACTTGACAAGCAACACCGGGTATGCGCACGGAGGTGATATGTACTCACATCAAGTCGAAGCACTTTACTTGAAAGAACTTCTTGAAAGTGGAACAACCGATCTTTGGTTCGATGAATTAACATTGGGCTACCCTTTATTTCTTGCCTATCACCCACTTCCGTGTCTGCTTAATGCCAGTCTCATGATCTTAGGAGAATCGTAAGTGAAACTCTGTTTTAATTTAATCCGTCATGTATTCAAGCAGCGGGTTGAAAAAAGGGGAAAAAATCCTTGAAAAAAAAAAACACAAAAAAAAAACACAAAAAAACAGGCGATAAATAAAAAAGCGATAATCGTTGGTTTCAATTCATTGACTGATCTTGTAGGTCCCAAGGGGTGACAAAACAGTCTTATTGTCAAAAATATTCAAAGTCTTTCATTAATGTTTTTGCACGCAGGAGATTTCGTTTATTTTAAAACTTAAAACAAAATTTATTTTGTTACGTAACTGACGTAACTTACGTGACCAATGTAACTTACGAAACTTTAACTTTAATTAAATCAAGTTGTTCCCTGAGCCGGCAACACGTTACTTGGACGTTCTTCTGTCGTCTGAATAAAAATGTGCAAAATCTATAAGGTCGGTTATTAATCTGTGGATCAAAAAAAACTGAAGTTCATTGTTCCCAGGAGTGGCATAATTAAAGCACCCTTCTAGAACATTTTTTTTATCCGCAGAAAATGATGAGGAATGTTTTAGGTCACTTGTTACAAAACCTGATAGTCACATTTATTAATTTTTAAAAACACAGGGATGTTTTTCTTCAAATTCCACTTAGAAAATCTTCCTGTTGGGCTTAATTCCTTTGAAACAATAATTACCACTTAATCTGAACACAATGCTATGCATGTATCAAGATTTTAAGTAAGTTAATTAACATGCAGGGCATCAATAATCTTTGCAGGAAGAATTCATCAGGGTAGTAAAATTTGTCGCACACTGGATAGAAAGGACATGTGTTTGGCTTATAAGGAAGTGAAAATTGGTTCCGTGACAAATACTTTGAATTGAAGAGACAAAGATGTTATTGTTTCCACATTTCACAGTTTATTTTGTCGATGGAGTGGAGGACTCCATCTCGGCTTACTATTGTGTTTGGAGATTAGCGAAAACTATTCAAACACACTAGTTGTGAAATAATTCAATGATAGCCTAAAATATTCACATGTTGAGGTCGATATGGGCTGAATGAAACCGATTTTGATGATCGCAATATCTGTATAGCTAATTTGTTGAGCAGAAGGTTTATTTGGTAGAATTGTTTGAACTCTGTAAAAGACCTGTTACATGGCAACCTGCCATGGTTATTTACATACCAGACATTTCAGAAAACAATGACCCCTATTACTCTTTGTCTTGCATTTCGTTTGCAGATTTTAAGTCTAACTACAATTTTGATCAATTTCTGTTTTCAGATCATTTTTTAATTGTTCATCGTCATTTTTTGCTTAAATCAATAATTGCACTTTTATGTGAGGTTTGCCTGTATCCAGGGTGAGACATAGGTAGATGTAGAAAATCAACTTGTGCAAATGGGCAAATTAACATTGTTGCTCCAGCAGGTCACACTCAGCTACTTGTAGTGGACTTTGCACAGAGTGAGCCCAGAATAAAGTTTTTATGTTATAACAAATAGTTTATCTCCTAAGCAAGGGAAGCGAACTTTGGGCAACTCTTTAAGTAGTATAGTCAATGAAAGTTATGTACTCCCAAGTAGTCCCCAATTGCTCTTCCTGATCTGTAGAACAAAAGCTGATTTCCATAACACTTGACGGTAAATATAAGCTGTATGGTTCTGATACTAGTCTTTGTGTCCCTGGAAGAGATGCTTCTGAGATTGAACTCAAGATTAATCATGACCTCACCCTACCTCAAATGTCGTATAATTTCTACTGTTTACAAATAGGCATTACAACACCTCAACGTGGGAAGATCATGAGGTTATCCCTATATCAAGATCTCTCCTTACAGATAAGCCACCCAGTACAGGAAAGTCCCTTCGAAACTCTTTTCGAACAGTGATGTGGGTTCTTTTATGTCCCACAATAACCATGGTGTGAGATAAGACCTACAGTTTTTCATCCTTTTCCAAGAAGACTTAAAAAGTCTAACCATTTGCAGATGTCATCACAAAGACATCAAGGCAGCACTTTTTCTCAGTTATTTAAGACCCTGATTGTTGGTCCTGCTGGGGTTTGAACCGGTGACCTACCAGTCAGCGGACCAGCACTTTCCCAACTGGGCCACCTAGGCAGCAGTGTTGCGTCTGGAAGTTAGGGTTCAGGCCTTCACTGTCTCTCTTGTATATGAAAGCCATGGTGGGCCTCTCAGCTTGTCTGCAGACTTTACCCTATTACCAGCCAGTCTGTTGAATGACTTTTTCAGTGGCATTAAGTTTAATCTTCACAGGGTTCTCTATCTATGTTGGGCACACCCACACCGATTTGATAAGTCTGTACCATTCCTGTCTGTTAGTCATGGCAGATGAAGATGTAAGAATGGTGTCGCTTTCTAGTTGGTCAATGAATGTTTGTTGCTGTGTGCCCCCTTGAGTGGCTGCTCTGTTTTGGTACTTAAAGAAGTACTGTAGTTGGGAAACAGTCTCATTCTTGCTTCTGCAACAGTGGCTGCCAAACTGCAACCGACAAATCTGGAGACTTGTTGAAATTGGGGGCAGGTTCCCTGTGAGCTCCTTGTTAGCTAATCAGTAGAGAAACTTCTAAACTCCAACCCCGCCCAACGTTGTCCATCTGGCACTGACAATTTGTCTGAATCATTTGTAGATTTCTTTACCAACAAAATTGTCAGATTTTGCAATGATCTTGACAGGTTTCTCGAACTCCAAATGACAGCCATGTAACACCCTGTAGTGCTAAAACCGAGTCCTGTTTGGCCCGTCACTTTCTCAGTGAATTCAGGCTGGTAGATGAGGAAGTGATCTCTGGTTATGTTAACAACCTGTGCACAAAGTCCTGTGCACTTGATCCTATTCCATCGTCTGTGTTTCAACGGTGTGAGCATCGACTGGTTCCAGTAATAACTCGTATAGTTAACTTGTCGCTTCAAGGTGGCCAACTGCCCGATAGATTCAAAGTTGGCGTGATTAAGCCATTGTTAAAAAAGAGCGGAGCTGATCATGAGAACCTTTCAAATTTTCAGCCAGTATCAAATTTGTATTTGATCATCTCAATCAGCGTATAAATGTTATCATCACAGTACTGAAACCGCACTTGTCAGAGTCCATTATGACATTTTGAAAACTGTTGACGACAACAAATCTGTTATTCCAGTTATTCTACTATTGCTTCACTTATCGGCTGCATTTGATACTGTCGATTACACGATCTTGGTATCAAGACTCGCGAATCGTTTCGGCATTAGCGAAACTGCTCTTAATTGGTTTGGTTCAAATCTTCAGTTACGTAAGCAGTTTGTTACTGTTAATGGTATTGATTCAGCACTAAAAGATCTGCAATACGGAGTACTGCAAGGATCCTGTGTTAGTTCCTTTACTGTATTCACTTTACACAAGTCCGGTGGGTGATATAGCCAGAAAGCATGGCATACCATTTCATCAGTATGCAGATGAAACACGATTATATCTCTCGTTTACGTCTTACTGCCCTAACCATACATCCAACGCGAAGGAGACAGTTGAGCTGTGTGTTACAAAGATATTGGTGATGGGATGCTGTGTAATAAACTTAAGCTGATGAATAATATTTGGTTACTGTGATATCAATCCAACGCGATAAGGAGACAGTTGAGCTGTTGTGTACAAATTATTTTAAATATTCATTTTTTCATAGAAAGATATTGGTGATGGGATGCTGAGTCTTTTAAGTTTAAACTTAATTTACCTTAAAATATTGATGAATCAAGATAAGAGGGAACTTTTAGTTGTTGGTTCAAGATTTTTTTTTTTTCTTTTTTCTTTTTGGAAGGTATGTCGACCATGTCCCCTACTACCGTCCTGTTAACCATTTTTGTGTTTTTGTTCGATTGTATATGTTAGTATTAGTTCATTTGTATCAGTTATGTATGGTTACGAACTGTGATTAAAGATTAAAGATTAATCAAGATAAGAGGGAACTTTTAGTTGTTGGTTCAAGATATCGACCATGTCCTCCCCTCAACCACACCCAAATCGGAGATGATGTTTAATCAATCCCTGTGTACATTCTAGGAA